ATGCTCTGCGCCCCCCCCCACACACACACACACACACACACACACACACACACACACACACACACACACACACACACACACACACACACACATGCGTGATAAGTGAAATCCATGATTTTATCGCATTTATGGCACTTTATTTTCTTTAAACAAACAAATAATACAAACACATTTAAACGCATATACTATGTTGCAAGAGCAATGGATAACACTAAAATATTGTACAGCAAAACAGTGTACCGAACTCTCTGTGTATACACAATTGTAAAGAGTTCCGTCTTTTTTCCAATTTAAACAAATTTACAAACTCATAAAGTCATAATATACATCAAAAATCACGTCCAAAGATGGACATTAGAAAAATTTCTTAGTGCCTACCGTTGCTTTCAGTAGTGTTTGGTTTTCTTTCTTGTTCTTCGTTTAGAGTAGTTGTATGTTACCATCTAGTGGTCAAACATAGAACCACACCCAGAATGGGTGAGTTTTTATTATTATTTAGAAGCACCCCATCGTCCATTATTCACTGAACTCACCTATTCACTGTTTTTGCACTGAGGCCAAAGCCATGTCTAATCTAAAACTAGTACCATCCGGTGGCATATTGACACTAAGCAACTAAGGGCATGAGGTTCATTGTCTGAAAAAAAAAGTACTGTATATTGTTGCCATCCAGTGCTATCAAAGGTAATTACAAACCTTTTGGGGTGAGTATCAATTATATGCAGATATTCGGTCTTCGCAGCAAAGCTCAGTCTCGATCCCTCACCACGAGTAGACGTTCATTATATTTCTGAGTTCATGATGTATTCACAGATATATTTTTACTCGTTTCCCACTCTTTTAAATTAATCACTTTCTTTGTACAGATGACAGATTCCCCGAGTATGGGAAGGTGGAATTTGTTTTTTCTTATGGTCCTCAGAAAATCAAAGGTAGCATGCTTTTTTTCCTGACTGCTTATAGTTACTAATTGTTCCTAAATGTATGAGTCACGTCCCCGTCATGGCATGTGTTCCTCAGGCCTCGGCCATCTGGAGAACGGACCGAGCGTCTGCGTGGACTACAACACTCAGGATCCTTTGATCCGTTGGGACTCATACGAGAACTTCAGTCATCGCTGTGAGGGAGCCGCGGATTATCAGCACGGTATGCGCATACATGCACACCCATCAGTACTGGAGTCATCTCAGTGGCAGCCAGTGCGGTACCACCATCCACTTTACGATGTCACAAAGAGCCATTTTATTTTTATGGACTTCCTCTGAGGGACGTTGTGGTAATTGCAGCGTTTCAAGAAGGTCAGCGCCCGAATTGCAAATTGTTTCCTATTTTAACAAGGACTCTGTAGGAAGACACTTGTCCTGTAATTTCTTCAATTTAAGTCTCTTGGCTGCCCAGTCAAGTGGAAGACTTTGTTTTTACAACATCTGAGTAGAATTCTCGATAAATAGTATCAATTGTTTTGGAGGATAGTGTCTGGGAAGAGTTTATGTGCCCTGCGAGGCGATATTTGTATGACGGGATACGCTGACATTGTTGTTTAGGGCTGAAATACAGATTAGTCCCCACCATGTGCTCACAGCTCGAAAATCTTTCTTGGCAGAGAAAAAAAGGTTTCAACTCGTCGCAGCACGGCCGACACAATTACTCATTTGCAGAAGCCAGACTTGTTCATTTGTTCTGGGGTTCAGGCGTTGATGTTTGAATCCGTGTCGCTTTCCTCCCCCTGGCGCCTTGCTTAACCCTGACCTTGGACATGGAGTTGAAAGAGCTCGGCAAAAGAATGGTGTCTTTCAAAGACTGCGGAAGATTAGAATGCTTCTTGCTTTCATTCGAACTCACAAGCCCCCAATGGTACAGTAATATGGTCAGTGCGCCTCATGAGCCTTCACCTGTGTCAGTGCACGTGTGATTTTATATATATTTTGAGTTCCTTGCAGTTTTTACACTGGAATGCAAGCATGTGTGTCAGCTTGACTTTGCTCCGCTAATAACTCTGATCCCCGGCAGCTGTTGACCTGCAAGTCAGAAGGCCCCGGTTCAGGCCGGTGAACAGCCGAAACGGTTACTTTAAAACTGTCAGGTACTGTTGTCTTAAAAACAAATGCGTGTCTAGTTTAAATACAAACAGCTGATTTTTCAAGACAAGGGCACTAGTCATCAGACAAAGAAAGCAAACATGCAGAAATAAAATGTATTTGCAGGGAGGGAATATGAATGACCATTGCTCCGGATTTGTTTCGAAGGACTGGAATTTGTGTGTGACATTTAGAAGGCTTGAAGGCTGTCTTTCTTGTTTACAACCCCTCCCCTATTTGGCCAGGCCGCACTACCACGAAACATGTCTCGAATAGCTGGACAGTGACAGCAAGGGACACAGGCAGGCAAGCAGGCGGGCAGGGCGAGGCAGACGCCGCCAGTTTTATGTGTGGAGCCACACAAGTCATTTTGTTTGCGTTTGCGAGGACTGATTGAAGGAAAACTTGTGAAGAGAAGCCGAAACGCGAAGCTTTTTTTAGCTGGTGAGTCCAACTGTCAGCTCTTCGTCAACGTGAATGCTTGCATTTCGAGACATCGATTACCTTCCAACCTGGTCGTCAGCCATGTCAGTGTTGATGATGGTTGCCGTGGATAATAGCAATGGTCAACATCAAAATGTTGGCTTTACGTGTCCTTAAATGTATATTTGATGATCATTTAAAACATATCTTTCGTTTTTTTTCAAGACCATCATTTAACCATGCGTTGTCATGTATAGTGATGACGTTTCAGAAACAAATTCCACCTTTTCCTGAACGTAACCGTAATTGAATAATAATAATGATAATAATAATAATGAAGTCGCTGATGGTGTAGTGTTAGACTCGCCTGCCTTGTGTGCAGGCAGCGTGGGATCAGTTCCCACTGAGTGACGCTGTGGATGTGGGTGGGAATGGTTGTTTGTCTCTATACAGTATGTGCCCTGCGGCTGACTGGCGACCAATTCAGCCTTCCACCCGAAGTCAGTTGGAATAGGCTCAAGCAACTCCCAGTGACCCTGTTCGGGATAAGCGGTGTTGAAAATGGATGGATAGTTTAATAATAATAATAATGATAATAATAATAATAATAATAGTAATAATAATCGGGCGGCCCAGTGAACCAGTGGTTAGCGCGTCGACCTCGCAGTGCAGAGGTACCGGTTTCAGTTCCAGCTCCGGCCTTCCTGTGTGGAGTTTGCATGTTCTCCCCGGGCCTGCGTGAGTTTTTCTCCCGGTACTCCGGTTTCCTCCCACACAAAAACATGCATGGCAGGCTGATTGAACAGTCCAAATTGTCCCTAGGTGTGAGTGTGAGCGCGGATGGTTGTTCGTCTCTGTGTGCCCTGCGATTGGCTGGCAACCGGTTCAGGGTGTCCCCCATCTACTGCCCGAAGACGGCTGGGATAGGCTCCAGCACCCCCCGCGACCCTTGTGAGGATAAAGCGGATCGGGAAATGGATGGATGGATATTTATTTCACATGATGTGGCCTTTTGATGGCGGCGCGGACACCCGCAGCGGCTCCTCTTGTTTAATGTTGTCTTGAGAGGGAAGAAATTCTATCTGTGCTGTACAGCACATTTGACAATGTAGTTGTATCCAATCCAATCCAATCCAATCACAAGGAATGAAATGACTCAGGAAACCCAGATGTTTGTGGGGTTTTTTTTGTTTTTTTTTCCTGACAAGGCTTCTAATTTAGACATGAACAATTAGGACCATGCATGGTCACTTATTGTAAGAGCCTGAAGGCTGAACAATTGTACTCTACTTGAGAGTTTCCAATGTAGTAATTTTACATCTTTTATTGTGCTTTTGTCCTCATGTCTTAAAACTCCGGAGTCTAACCTACAGAAGCCCATACCTGCACATAACTGACTAAAGAAACCAAATATACTGCAGCCAAACTAAGTCTGCAGAAATGGAGAGCAGTGAGGTATTTTAAATGTGTGCTTGTGTGTGTGTCACACGAGAACAAAATGCTTTGAGCTGGACGTGTCACTGACAGCACGGTGAGCCGCAGCAGCAGGTTCAGGTCCCAGCCGTTCTCGAAACCCTGCTGTGGCTGTCTTCTTTCCTTCATGCCTTCTTTCTCCTCTGAATAGCTATTTTGGAGTCAACCTGCTACTGATCTCATATCCTCTGAGCATGGAGATAAATGTGAATTAGAAGTGTAACGGGATGTCTTTAACATGACATCACCCTGAAAATCCTCTTGGTAGGTGACACCAATACGGACACATCACGTTACCGCTAAGGAGTGACTGATGGATGGAGCAGGAGGCAGACTTTGCTCATATGAAACCAGTCACTCACCGATTCTCCCACTGTGACACATGCTGTGTCCTGTCACGTCATATCTCACTCTGCACATGTTCCACTCTTTAACAGAGAACTGCGATGTGTTATTAGTTCCCTTGAAGATTTTGTAAGATGGGCTAATGTGACACAAACAAGTGTATGGGACAAGTGAGACAGCTGTCAGTCAAACCTCGTCACCTTCTGCTAGCATGTAGACTGGATGACGTCTCAGCGATATCAAAGCTAAATGTCACATCCAGTGGCGAGGCGATATCACTGTGTGTCCACACATTCCTGCACTGGCCTGTCAGTGTGTATAATTGTGACTGACGTTGAAGATGTTGTCATACTGAAAGAAAACATCAACCTCCATTTTTCACACTTTGGTTGACTTCAACAAGGACAGTATCCACCTTTGTGGGGTTTTTTTTAGGTCCCCCCCTGCGAGGCAGAGTGAAGTTTTACTGTTCTCTTGTATGCCCACTGAGATCTGAATTGCTTTTGCTTGAAATTCCAGACTTTCGATCACACAACATTGTAAATTGCTTATCCTTTTAAGAAGAAGAAACAAAAATAATGCACTGCATCTAATCAAATTCAAACTTCAGGTCTATCTTCCAGAGGTAGATGTGAACCAGACATGTAGTCCCAAACAGGTCAGACCTGTCAATGTCAGGTGTAGCACTAGCGCGTAAACTTTTTTTTTAGGTCTTCTTGTAAAATTGTAAGATTGTCATGCATCTATCATCTAATCTGTAAGGCTGCCAAGTGAGTATTAATCATCTGTACAATGTGAATAGCCTGCTGATTTGTTTTTGTTTCGCTATAATCAAGTAAGAAAGCACAGAAACAGCCTTGTTGACATCCAGTTAGGTCCAGACTTGGACTACCAAGGAAGTTTTATTGTAATTGTATTGTAATTGAATTACAGTAAGCAATCAATTAGTATCTGAAGTGTAGACTCATCTTTTATCATTCAGGAATTACATCCATTTTCTGTAGATTATGTCGCTTTGTATGGACTGAAAAGTATTTGGCTATTTTGCTAAATGCTTCATAGTTGGTCACAACTGCCTGAAATCTGGATCATGGGCATCATCACATTCTTACGTTTCTCCCTGGGTATGCCTTGACCGACTTTCATTTCCAGACACCTTCAATTGCCGCTTGCTTTGGGGTCTTACTGTTTTGACTGAAATCTTCAGTAAGTGACCAGAATGCTCCAAAGCAACGCTATTCAACTGATAGCTTGCAGCGCAGAATGGAACGGACGGGCCCGTCTGTTCTGTTCTATTATGTTTAAAGTGTGACGAGTGAGCCTGTTCCATCAGCAGTTTTATGTGACCATGACGTGAGATTTCCTCCAGAATGTTTGACACATGAGGTGGTGTACTTTGGCTCATGAGCGGTTCCTTTGCTTCTCCATATTTTATTCTGCCACAAGTACACCTTGGTTTTATCTGTCCATAGCATCTGATGACAGAGCACGGCCCTCTTCTTTAGATCTTAGAATTTAATCTGTCTTGTACTTGATTGATACCAGTGATTTGCACCCTGTTGTAAACCTATTTTTGACATCTGTTGATGTTGTTGGTGTTTGTTCACCAAGAAAAGGGCTCTGTCATTGTTTGCTTTCATTCACTAACAGACTTGCGGCAAAAACTAACTCAAGACTTTTTGAAAACAAATAATATTGGTAAATGCCATATTTTTCTTTGGTCTTACATCTGAAAGTTGACACGGCCATAACATTTTGTTTTTATTGTAATCCATTGTGCTGTTGTGTAAAAGGCAAAATCACAAACACTGTCCAAATACTTCTGGACCAAACTGCATGTACACCCCGCTTTGTACTCATCTTGCCAGCTGGGCTATTGACACCGCAGTGACACACGGTGCTCAACTGCTTCTATTTATAACAAACCATTAGCCACTTTTGTGAAAATGGCTTTTTAATGGCTGCCAAGTCTGAGAAGTGCCAATGAGGCACCCAAGCTAGGGCTTATGTTTGGGAGTGAGCGTGTGGCCCTGCAACCAGTACCATTCATTTAAAAATAAACAGAAATACACTAGGTGAACAAGCATGTGCACCAGCATTTGGTGAGCATGGCACACTGCCCGGGTGACTCACCTGATCTAATTTAAGGTTGGCTGCCACTATTTAATGGCGCCCAGGCAAGGTTGTGCGTTCTATTTGGGTTTAAAATCCTGCTCGCCACAGTCAACACCCAGCTGGAGTGCTGCCACAATGATTTGAAGTGCTTTGGCATTAATGTGAGTGATAACTGCATGTTAGGTGCCTTGCAGCGCCATCGGATCTTTTGGTGGTCATAGTTGGATGCAAAGCATGTGTTCAGATTTCAAAAGGATTTCTCCGAGCCATCAACATTGCTGCTGCTTTACGTTAAGCCGCATGGCTGACATTGCACCGTCATCCATCCATTTTCTATACTGCTTATTCTGTCCAGGGTCTTCAGCGAAGCTGAAGTTGATCCCATCTGATTTCGGGTGAGAGGTGCCATACATCTTGGACTGTTAACCAGGCATTCGCTGGACGTATAAATTGGAATAGAAAACCATTTGCAATAGTCCCAGTCTGCCAGTGAATTTGTTTATCACTCATATTTATCAGATTTATGACTGACATGTCGCTTGGTAGACTGCAGAGTACCCTCCATGCTCGATTTTCATCAAAAGGGACATTTAAAAATGTTGGAGCACCGTACAGTGGTCTCTGAACTTTCAGGTGACCTGAATTAGAATTTTTCAAAATGCGAGCCGTCGCTTGGCTGATTCTCTTTGACTTGCAAGCAAAAATCTGAGATAAGAGTGCTAGGTAGTTCTAGCAAAGTCAACTCAACTCACTTCACGGCAAGCAGCCGATGGCGTGCAACTCTTTCAAAAAGAGGCTTCAAGCTGTTTATTGACAAGGACCAGATGAAGTTTACTTTCAACTAAACTGGAAACAAAGAATTACATTATTGTGTATTTAGAGCAAACCCCACAACTTTGCCTTTAAAACACATGTATTTGCTAGCTTAAAGTTTACCTCCGGCAGCCCATTTCGACATATTGTTGGAGAAACGGATCAATATTATAAAGTTGGATCATGAACAGCATTGATTGTTGTGTGTTATAGTCCTTTAACTCTGGCGAGCCATTTTCCCAAAAAAGAGAACCTAATGCAGGGGTGTCAAACTCATTTTTGTCGGTTACCTTCGAGGGCCGTTATGACTGTGAAACCATACAAAGAAGTCAAGAATAATGTTTTATTCAACTATAGTTTAAGTTACTGTAATGAGGGTTTTGGTAACAAGAAAACTTAGCTCTCTTATATATCACATACGCGAATTTGAAATTGTGTTACAAATTTTAGGAAGCATCATAGAAGTCAACGTTTGATTTGCTTTTGCGGGCCACATCGAATGATGTGGCGGGCCAGATCTGGCCCCCGGGCCTTGAGTTTGACACCTGTGACGTAATGAGTCAGAGAACTCAGAGAACATTTTTTCAAGGCTCATAGAATATAAACAGAAACTGCCAAATCTTTCATCTCACACACACACACACACACACACACACACACACACACACACACACACACACACACACACACACATTTTGTTTCTACCTAATTCCATGTTTAGTAATCAGCAGGAGAATATGGTTTGGTGAAACAAATCCCTTATTTTCGATCAAAAAATACAGAATATTCGTTTTTTGGGACAAGATCAATTTATTGCAGAACAGTGACTTAGAATGCTAACAATTTATTTGCCTTAGTGATGTCTCTAACATCTGAACAGTCCATCCATTTCTTCTGTAAAGTACTAGCAGCTACAATGAAAATGTGCTTTTGATGGCAAAAGAATGATTTTACAAATATCACCATTGTGACAGTGTAATGTTTGACAAACTTTCCTATTTAGTAGTGTGTGTGCGTGCATGCATGAATCGTGCCATGCATGTTCATGTAAGATGATAAACTGATAGGAAATTCCATTGGATTTTTATTTTCAGATTTTACATTGCACTCTTAAGTGTATCTAACTAATGACTGTTTATAATATTGAAATTATTGCTTAGTGGAAAATGTCTTAAAAAATGATTTTTGTTCAATACTGTATGTGTTTTGGGACTGTGGGAGGGTGCCGTGGAAGGAGAACTTGATAATTCACTTTTCTCCTGCGACATCAGAAGGTTGACAGATGGGTTTTCTGTGTAGCCACTCCCCTGCTGCTGGGAAGAATCAAGTGGTGGCGCGGCCCCGCCTCTCTCATGTCAAGCACATTTCGGGTGATGAGAGGGCACAGAGAGGGGAGCAACAGGAGAAGGCTCACTCTTTATATATGTGGAAGTAAATTATTAGTTTGCGTAGTTTTTGGGGAGGGATAGTGATGGAAAATCACATCGACAACAGGTAAGTAGGACTTTTCCATGGCAATCATCAGAGATATACGGTACAAGCTAATGATCCATTCCTTCTCATGAGAAGCAAGCAAAGGGACAATTTGTGTTTATAGTTGGTGTTCTGACTTCCTGTTGGCATGATGTTTGAAATAACTGTGTTTGAAGTCATCCACCATCTGTCTCTTGGGGTCGCACTACCACATACCAATCAGCTGTTGTTGGTGTGTACTTGTCGTGGCTTTCCATTGCTTTGTGTGGACTACTTTAGAATCTGGATGAGTTTTCTTCTTGCAAATGCGAGAGTTATCGCTTACAATTTGAGCTACATTAAAGTATCTTCATTACGATGCCACCACTTTGACTTGGCTAGGCTTCTTTGCCCAATACCAGATGTTCTACTGGTAAATTCATCTTCACAGCCTAGACAAAGGATAGTTTGTTTCTGTCCTTCAGTACAGATGAAATACAGTATTCTTCCAGTGTTCTGTTTGCTGGTCAGTGTCCACCCCGGTTTGCATCAGACTGAGTTGGTCGTCAGTGACGCAATGGTGGCACCGCCTTTAGCCCTGTAAACTTTCTATTATTAGTGCATGGGGACGGTGCTGCCCGTTGCTAGGCTAAAACTCAGGGTTTAAAAAAAGACTTCCAGAGCTTCCTTGTGCTGATGGGCAGGGTTATTTACTCCTTTGCAAGTTCGCTGTTGTTTATTTGTGTGCAGAGAACTACAGTGAAAGAAGTCCACTAGGTTTATCATCTTTTAAAATCTGTCTTTCAGATGTTGTTCACAGTCAAGGTCCACTTGATGGAAGCCTGTATGCACAGGTCCGAAAGAAAGACTCCCTGGAGGGAGTGGTCACCGTCAATGGCCTCCCAGTCCTTGGAGACCCCCTGACTGCCCCAGAGAACCCTTTGCAACACCCAAACCACCCCCTTCAACCATCAGAGCATACCCTTCCTGTAATAGGCCATGCCTCTCTCCCCACTGTCGACCACACTCTGTCTGTGAGCAGCGATTCGGGAAACTCCACCGCCTCCATCAAGACAGACCGCACAGAGGAACACAGTCAGCCTCTGCAGGGGGGCTCAAACCACAGTAACACAGGAGTAAGTCACCCGTCCCTTAGCCCCCAGGAGAAGAGAGAACTGGATCGGCTTCTGAGCGGTCTTGAGGAGCCTGTTCATCAACGACAAGTTTATTTGTCTACTTCAACCAGTCCGGGAGGCGGTGTCCGGCACCTGGTCCCTGCACAGGTGCATGTCAACGGGGTTCACACCAGACTTATTGGTGCCCCTTCCACAGAAGAGCGTGAGACAGATATTCTTGATGACGAGCTTCCCAATAGCCAAGAGGGCAACAGCGTGGACAGTTTGGGCACACTCTCATCCTTAGAGGGCCAAGCCACACCAGGTGACCTCTACTATCACTCACAAGCCCCTGTCAAGAACGACGGCCACCACCTTGAATCAGGTGTTCTCAGCGATAAGTTGAGTGTGATGCCTGTGCACGGACTACAGACACCCACTGCAATGCAGGAGCGCAGTGCCTCTGTGTCACCATCGGGGGGATATAACAATTTCCAGAATGGAAGTGCAATGTATCGCTCACAGTCCTTTGGTAACGCGTCTGCGAGAAGTCCTGAGTCCAACCCTAAACTCATGCCCAGGGCCCCCGAGAGAAGCACCAGTAGCCGGGAGGCTGTTCAAAGGGGACTCAGTACATGGCACCAGTACAGCCTCCCAGGTGATCCTTTTGGCCCGCCCCTCCAGTCCACCAATAGCTTGCCACGTTTTCCGTCCTCAGCTTCACAAAGGGACATTGAGCAATCCATTGAAGCGCTCAACATGCTAATGCTCGACCTGGACCCGATCAACTCCCACATGTCCAAGTCACACAGTGCTCCCCCTGGAGAAAATACCTTCAGTTCATCACCTGTGCCCTTCTCCCAGACACTCACAAGGCCATCCTACCAAGCTGATGCGGCCATCCATGGCTACAGCTCCTCTGGGTCATCCAATAATACTTTCCATCAGCCACCACGCGTGACTGTGAGAACTTTTCCGAACCAGAGCCCTCTTTTGGAATCTCCGGTACACTCCTCTCAAAGGCCCACCCCCATTTCGCAACACCAAAACACCACGCCGTCACACACACCTGAGCCCTACATGCACACACATCAAGCACTGCACCAGTTCCCCTCGGATCCCTCCACAAATGTCCATCCACCGTTGAAGCCTGTGAACTTGAACATGGTCGGCACGGTGTCCCACTCTCCGGACCTACAGGGATCATCTCCCTATCCGGGCTGCAGTGAATCCTCCTCTCCACTTCCTGCTCTCACCCCTCAACCTAAGGACACCTCCTTCTCCTCTTTGCCCCAAGAGCAGGATGCTGAGGTGGGGGCGTTGAACCTAGAGGGCCTGGTTGCTCACCGCATTGCCGGTAAGTCCGGGCTGTGCCAAACTGGAACGTAATTGCATAATTGATGTGCCTGACAAGGCTCAGTGTATTAAATGCCTCACTGGCGTCAGAGTTTAATCTGTAAAGTTTCAACTCAAGATCCCCATCTGGGCCAACGAGGACCATATGGTTGAGCAGATTATAGCAGTTCCTGTAACACATTCACCAGAGGAATGAGAAGTGCACATATAATTAGCTCTGCAGCTAAAATGAAAATTAAGTCTAGCATGACAGCGCAAGGTGATCATAGCAGGAAGCTTTTGAGATCCCGGCTTTCATGAGTTCACGTTTAGGCAAACTCAGTGGAAGCTCGATGCTGCTCCCAAGTGGATTTAAGCTGCGCATACAGTACATGTACTTTCTTTTTGTATGCTTTCAACACGCCACTTCATTAGTTGCGTGAAATATTGTTTCACATGCAGATCGTTTCAGTTGAACATTTGCTTTTCAGTCAGCTTTCTTTTGTTTTGTTTATATTCTCTGTTTCTATGCTATCCCACACTGATCGGACAAACCCCTTCCCACCATTACTTCTTCCCCTGCACGTCTTCCTCACCTTCTTCCTTATCTACCTTCCTCCTGTCCACTATTCACCACCCTGACTTCCTGCCCCGGCATCAGAGTACAACGCTCGTATCCGTGGCATCAGTGAAAGCGTAACACCGCAACAGTCTGACCGCCATCGTTCCTATTCCTTCTCCGGTTTGTCCACCACCACTCACCTTTAGTTGCTTCCTTTTTTGTTGTTCTTTTCTTTCACATTATTTGGAGAACATTTTTGACGTTGCTTCCAATTCAATTGTATTTATTTATTTTACAATGAGCAGTTATCATTGCCCACATTATTCAATGTTGTGTGCGGGGTTCGCAGGGGTACGCTCTAGGGCAATGACCCCAGAAGTAAGCCAGGAGACGGGCCGCCGTAGAACCACCAGTGAGGGTCAGTACCACAGTGGGCTTGACAACAGGCCAGATGGCCGTTCGACAGACTTCAGCTCCAGTCTGCCCCACAACACAAGAGGAAGACCCGGAGAGGTACATTTATCAGTTTCATCCTCCCTTCAGCCCTCCAGAGCTTGGCAGGAAAAAAATCAATAAACATTCTCCAATATGTCATTTGTTTTTCTTCTGATTCTGTTTTCTTGACTCGTTTCTGGCAGGGTACTGTGCACAGCTACCGGGATGCATTTGAGGACAGCGATATTGATCGGTTTGTTAGGAACAGCCCTGCTTTGGGAGGCTGTGGTAAGAATTTCCCTCAAACATCAAACTTTAATCCTGTCGTCGAAGACTACTGTACATTCATTTCTTCTCCATCCTTGTGCGGAAAAGAGACAAGCAGCAAATATCGTGTTGTTATTAGTATTGAAGAACTTTTATGAAAAGTTTACATGACACAATTCAAACATGGACACACACATTGGCAGGAAATAATAAAACAGCCGAAAAGTAAATAAATAACCATTCTGCTTGGAGATACTCTCTCCAACAACTGAAAGTTGAAAAGAACTAATAAATGAACTAATAAGCTTTTGACTACCGTACTTATTAATCAGCAATTTCAATAGCAAACAAAATAAAGCCTCTGCTCACAGTCATGAACTTCCCACTCTGATTCTTGCCAAAAGTCAGTTCTTCCCAAACTGACGCCAACTAGCGTATCATTGGTTCCCAAAATATCACTGGTGTCGATATCGTCACTTGGCATCCATCCCATCACTTTTAAGGTGCCACAGTTGTGTCTTGCTGCTGGACACAAAGGCCTCTCAGCACCAGTCCAGACCTCGTATGTCAACTGCTCCTTGTCCGTCCAGCGCCAGCCCCCTGGGAAGAAACGCAGACCCACCCAGACATGCTCAGTAAAGGGGCTCTTGTCCAGCTCTGCCTGGATCAACAGCATGTCTGTCTGTGATGTCACGCTGGCCAAGTCGCTGTGTATCTCCCTGCAGTGCTCCAAAGCTTCCTCCCAGCTCGCTCTCTCCCTCACAACAATGGCATCAAAGCAAAAAAAGGGATGCAGATGGAGTCGGTTTGCATTATAAATCCTGTAGTTCACCATCAGGCCGGCGTCTTCGTTTGTCTGATCATCTGGCTGCCCAATTCCCCAGAGAATTGCAGATGCCTCGCCACCCCCTGACCACATCCATTTGTTTTGGTCAGTGTCACCCTTCACCAGTCCGGTCCAGAAACTAAACGCATAGTTGCTGATTTCACGTAATTTCCTGAGTTCCTCATCGTTAACAGCCGGAGCCAGATCGGTGTAAAACTCACGGCAGTAGCTCTGAGCGTCGTTCCATGTCATTCTCTCGCTCACATAGACGTACTTTCCCAAAATGGTGGACAATGTCTGCAGGAGCAGGAGGTAGGCACATACTTGCACTATCGCGGTCATCTTTTCAGTCCTACGTTGCACTCTTTGGATGGGCTTTAAAGATGCTGAGCAGTTTTTTTTTTTTGTGCGCTCACAGGATTTGCGTAGGCCTGTGATTATGTAAAAGGATGAACGCTTGACCTCACAACAAATAACATACAGCAGCTGTGTGCAAATATATGTAGAAAGTCCCTCAAAGGTATACTGGAGTTCGTGACAGAAAATAGATTTGATAAAACTCACCTGATTTTTGTACTGTTTCTGTTTCTATGACTGGAATTATGGTAAGAGTCAAAGAATTTGCTTAAAGTGACAGGTTTGACTCTGAATTATGTTTTTATTTATTTTTGATTTAGTTTAAGAAGCTCACAATAACTCGAAGAATATTGACTTTACTGGAGTAATCGAAATGAATTTAACCTACCCTGTTGGACGGGGAGATTTAAAATACCCAAATTCCTGACACTTTAGGTAGACGTAAGAAGCACTTGATCCTAAAGAAAGAATCTTTCACGCTAGTGCATGACGAAAAAAAAAAAAAATCTCCTTCCACGCGTTTCTAATATTCTATTCGTTCACCACGATGGTTGTTTTGGTCAGCATCTGTTGCCAGGACTGTTCTTTCACTGTTCAGGCAAAGACCAATTTATTTGGATTTATTTAGGAGTCCCGGGTAACAAAGATGGTTTAGGGAAATGCATCGGCGTTAAAATCGTTTTCATTGGGAAATATAATGCAATCAAAGTCACAATCGTCTGCAACATTTTACTCAAATGTTATTCAAGTGCAGTAATGAAGTATTTGTGCTGTGTTACATTACAAGACTGGCAAATCAAGATCATCGGGTAAAGGCTGTCATAAAATTGTAATGATCTTTGTTCTTTCTGTCTGTCTGCAGCTCGTTCCCCACCAGGCTGGTTGTCAGCAGCGGGAATGAAGGCTAATCAAAAATTTGTATCAGGTCAGTGAAGTCTAACTTCAAAAACATCTCAAGGTGTATTTTACAGTCAGTCTGCCTCTCTGCTGCCCTCTGTTGTTTGAAACAGTTACTGCTTCTGCCTAGTTTACAGGCTTTTGAAATTTCCTTGCTTTCGTGCATCTTCAAAACGGTTTCTTCTGTTCTTTTCCCTTGATTAGACTCTGCTTCAAGTCATGGAGAACAAGGTAACATACTGGATACGTTTTTGTTGTTGCTTTTTTTCTGTTCCATCTTTTATTCTCAAGATGTGCTTTTAATCTGTGCAACACTTTTAACACATTGTATTTTCTCATGATTTGATGTATTTTTCATCCACTGCAGATCATTGTGGTTTTGTGGAATTTAGAGCACAACAGTTCAGCAGTCCTCTCAACTCCAGCAGTCCTGTACACAGCCCCGAAGGGTGCGTATCTGGTAGGGGTGTGACAAAAAATAGTTTGAACCGGTAAACGAGATACATGGTGAATCGTCTTTCATTGGCGAGATATGGATTATCTTAGAAGGTAATGGCATATTTACATGACTGACAAGTTCATTCAAATGTACGTAAAATGACAACAATACATCATAACCTCTCAAACTGAGTTGTACTGTATCAAAGTCAATTAATCTTATCGATATAAATAATCACTGGGATGAGGTATGGATGGATGGGGATGACCTGGACTAAGAAACTTTAAACCTTGAACCTTTAATTCAAATGGAAGAATAATCTTCTCGTTGTTGTTTTCTTTATCAAAAGGAGATATGGCTCTTCTGACCACAGCTCAGCACCATTTTATCCTCACACACACGCCTCCCCTGATGGCTCCCAGGTAAATATCATGGGTGTCCACACTGTCCCTGGTAGCCCCAACACCCTCCACCGCACAGTGGCCACCAACACTCCCCCAAGCCCTGCCCTCCAAAGGCGCCTGGGCCAAGGCAGTCCTTCACCGGTCAGACGCACCCCTCCAGCAGGTGCCAGCAGGGACGGCATGCCCTCCAGCCCCTTAATTGGCCGAAACCCCAAAACAAGTGCAAGTGTGCCACCCGCCAGCCCCCTGATGGGGCGGCGAGCTGCAGCGGGAGGTCACAGTACCCCAGATGAGCTGGGGGCCACGTCTCGTCAGGCTCAGCCGCCTTCCACGCCCGCCTTCCCCGTCTCCCCCGAGCTGCCAGTGAAGAGGCACGCAAGCAGCGAAGACGCAGAGAGGATGGACAGCAAGAACCTCGCAGCCGAGGTTGGAGGGTCAAACTTGACTAGGACATACCCAGACACCGCCAAGTCCATCTATGGTGAGACACAAAGATGATTAGCTGTGAGTGTTTGAGGTGTTGTTTTTATTTGTCCCCCCCCCCCCCTCCACATTCATAATTTCATTCTGTCATCAACAGATGGTTATCCGGACATCAAAATGAATGTTAAGTTTGTTCAAGACACGTCCAAGTTCTGGTACAAGCCCGACATTTCCCGAGAACAAGGTGACACCAGGAGCTCTGCGCAGACTCCCATCATCGTCATGTCATGTCATGTCATGTCATGTCACCACCTGGACTCTCACTTTTCCTTTCAGCCATTAACGTGCTGAAGGACAGGGAGCCCGGCGCCTTTGTCATCAGGGACAGCCACTCCTTCCGTGGGGCTTACGGTCTTGCCTTGAAGGTGGCCTGCCCACCACCAACAGTAAAACAAAGCAAAAAAGGTACGCTTTGGTGCTGGAGCCTGCGAACGAGCTTCGGATACGCCGCTACATGCAATTGCAAATGAGTTTGACGTGCAGCCAAAAGCATATTGCTAGCTATGATGTCCACTAGCCAAAGGCTGAGCTGCACTTTATTGGTTCACAGAGTAGCTCAGTGACTCGAGCACAGGTGAATAACATTTCCTGACGCCTACACCAATATTCTATGAGCCAAGAGGAAACTTATCAGCCTCAGTACTGTGGCGAAAAAAGCGGAATACAACTACATGAATTTTTTTCCCTAGCTATTTGCAACCCAACCAAAATGGGTCCACGACACGGTTTTGGCTCCTGACACACCATTTGAGAATCACTGCAGTATACTAACACACAATCTACCATGACTCACATATAAAAAGTCAAGGCATGCACAGGTAATAATATACTTATAGGAAATGAACAAAGACACTCAACCAAATCTGATAACAAAAAAAAAAAAAAAAGACAATTTCCTGATGGTCTCGCATAGCACACTGCAGAGAGCTGTTTAGGGGTATATAGCAGTCCTTTAACATGCTGTCTTACAATGCATCTAGTTGCTGATCTGACCAACGAGCTGGTGAGACATTTCCTGATCGAAACAAGCCCCAAAGGTGTCCGCCTGAAGGGTTGTGCCAATGAGCCCTACTTTGGTGAGTACATGTGAAGCTATTTTGATATCTGCCATGGATTCGACTCACACACTCTATTTCACCCCAGGTTGTCTCTCTGCGCTCGTTTATCAACACTCCATGACGCCTTTGGCGCTGCCCTGCAAGCTCATGATCCCCACCAAAGGTAAAATGGCAGGCAGCCACTAATAATATGACCCAAGTTGCGTGTGATGCTTGAAATGTGCTTGCCTTGTACAGACCCAAATGAGGAAGCGTTGGAGCTGGCTACACCCACCGACCCAGTTTTGGAGCTTTTGAAACAAGGAACAGGTAACCACCTCCTTTCTGGTATATGCAGAATTAGGGAAGATGGTGCTCTATATGGTCATCCACTTTGGCTCACAGTGTCACCTCTACTTTACAGTTCAGAAGGTTCCGGAGGAGTCTTACGGTAAATGTCGGACCACTGCTATCTCTCACATAATCCACTGCTTCCATTTTTGGTTGGAGTGCACGCACCATTGTCCTGCATCAGAAAAAAACTGATGGTGAGTTCTGCTTTTTGGCTTCCAGCGTCCAACGTGCTTTACATTAACTCTGTGGATATGGAGTCCTTGACTGGCCCTCAAGCCATTGCCAAGGCCATCAGTCAGACGCTGGCGACCAATCCCCAGCCTACCGCCACCATCGTCCACTGTAAAGTGTCCCCGCAGGGCATCATGCTCACAGACAGTCACAGGAAGTAAGTGCATAGTCATTATTTTGCAAAATAAGAGCTAACGTGTTCATAACATGTATAAACATTAGGAGGCAGGGTACTTCCTGGTGGCCAAATGCAACTAATTACCGCTAATTTGAACCAAAAATGACAACATTTCTTCCGTTTGGGTATTTTCCATAGTAGTAAGTACTGCAGTAGGAAGAAACCATTTCTAATCTACTGTCGTGATTTCTGCAGGCTCTTCTTCAGGCGACATTATCCACTAAGCACTATAACCTACTGTGACGCCGACCCCCAGGGCAGAAGGTATGACTCAATATCAACAGGAATAAACTTTGCGTACCATCGAAATAGTAATATGCTCACAGTTTCCTGATACGATTATAGCTGAAATAAAAAGAAAATTTTGAGAATTTTGAGTATTAGCCAGTACAGTGGGACCCATAATCAACTGTAATAAAGCAAGGAGAATTTGCTGACTCAGCATTTCACGATTAAATACAGGGGTCGCAAAACTTACTTCATATTTTTGTTTGAGCAGATGGAAAGTGTTCCAAAGAAATTTGAGTAGGTGTCGATCAGTAATAAAATCATTTATTTGCACAGGTGGGGCCAAGAGGGTGGTTGTTCACTTAGGTAGGTACTTTAATCAATACTTGTCCATTGTGTGCACATGTACAACAAAGTGCATACACACGTCTGTTTTCTTTCAGGCTTTTTGGCTTCGTAGCGAGAAAACAAGGAAGCACAACAGACAATGTCAGCCACCTGTTTGCCGAGCTGGATCCTGACCAGCCGGCCTCGACCATAGTCAGCTTTGTCTCCAAAATGATGAGGCGGTGAAACGCATGTCGGGATGGCGCCTATTTTTAAATCCATCCTTTTGGTGTCTTTTTGTCTCTGGGATCCGACGATCTCCTCTTATTTTTTTTTTTTATTCGATTAATTTATATATATAATTTTTTTTCTGCCTTTCTAGTTTGGCGTATTGCAAGCATCTTTCTGTGCAAGAGGCATTGTGAACTTGTGAGAGGATGTGCCAATGTGGGCCTGCAAATGTGACAAACACGGAGGCCGCTGGACTGAAATGCGGAGAGGAGAGCGGATGAAACTGGCAAGTTGGGTGTGAGGACATGTGAGGCTCGGATGTTTCAGGGTGTTTTCCCGTTTTTCTTGATTGATTTACCAAAGGTGAATGACGTAGCGATTAAGCCATTCTTATTGTTTCCTTCTGTAAAAGATGTACCTACGGACACACAGAAAAGAAAAAAAGTACTTTCTTCTTCTTGTTGTCTTCAGGAAAAAAAAAAAAAAACTTGGCCTTGATGGCTTTTGGCAAAACATTGTCTGAAGACCTAATGCATGTTAACTTGACCTTTAAGCTCGGTTCTCCTACCTTCCAATCATCCTTGTGGAGCACTTAGTGTGAGCTTTTCTGGTTCTGCTGTGTGTTAGAAAGGGCTCCGCAGTGAAACGGCGACTGATCGAAACTGCACATTACAGACCAGCCCCCCCCACCCCACTCCCCCAAAAAGAAAAATGGCACACACACTAACACTAAGCTCCGTGCACATGTGCATTTTCATCACTCCCACTACCCCACGCCCACCCACCTCCTTTTCTTGCAAGATGCTTTACACTGCAAGCAACTGGTGACTTTGACAGATTGTCCACAGGGTACAGCCCCCCCAGTCAGCCTTGCACCAGGACGCTTGTCACGGAATGACACTGGAAAGCACCTCCAGGAAGCTGAACCTGGACCTATGCACTGTTCTATCTGCATGCTGTTTTTCCTTCGTAGCGGCATTCACTGAAAACATTCTGCGCTGTGTGCCCTCGTAGACACCGAGGCCATTTGACTTGTCAAAGACCGCATGAAGTAGACTTTTTTTTTTAATACTCGAGTCCTCAACAAGATGTAGACAAACCATTTTTGAAGTACTCAAATGATGGTGGTGCGCTATATTTTTATTTTAAGTGTTGGTCTGACGGATTTACCTTTGAGTGTACCGGGGGCGGGTCTGTCTCCATTTTGCTTCCACTGTGTTGTCACAAATTACATTTAGATATTTTTAGCAGATAAAAACACAACGTGAGTATTCACACTGTGCACAGTTCCACACACGCAAGCATCTACAAGAGGATAGATATATATGTACATAGGTGAACTACTTTGAAAGGTGACTTAGCGAAATGTATTTATTTTTGTTGCTTTGGTCCCTCATGAGTACTCATTATGCATATATTGTACAGTCTAGATAGAGAAATGGGTTCAGAAAAAAAATATCAACTTATTTTGGCTAATGATTTCAAAGTCTGAGGATTTTGAAATGTTTGAATATATGGTGTACATTATTTTGTACATGTATCTGTTTTGGCTCGTCTTGTTTGTCATCTTGGCAAAAGCAGTGTAGCGGACTTGCATGGACAAAAGTGTGCGTGAACAAGAGTTTGCTGGTGGGAAACATTTAGACCAGATTGTAGTTGATAGAACATTGCAGATTAAAAAAAAAAAGATATGTAAGGAAAAAGAGGCCAAGCTCAAATGCAATACAAAAAACAGTGTGCGCCCATGACAGTTTTGATTTTTGCCAAAGAGTCACACAAGCTGCTTTTCGTCTTTGCTTCCAATTTACATGCAAAACTAAGTTACACAGGGAGGTTTACACTTATGCACTGAGACATTGATGACTCTTCTTTTAACCGTATGCCCAGAGAAAAAAATTGCTTGCCGAGTACATGAAGTACTTAACTTGACAGAGCAGCAGAGAATCGACAGGAATTCCACATACGACAAGCTCTTCCAAGGCTGAATCATCAGACCTCCTGGACGGCAATGGTTTATTTATCTTTTTTTAATTTTTTTCTCCATGACAGACATCTTGTTCCACTGTGTTATATGGAAGTAGAGCTGTGGAGCTTGCTTCTGTCCAAGAAAGCATTTTTATAAAAGACCTAGCAAGTGTCGCTGAAGTCGTTTCAATTGTATTAATGTAAAAAAAAACAAAACAAAAAAAAAAAAGACACTCTGATTGTGTTTGTGCTTACCATCTTCATTTGTCATGACAGCTTACCTATGGAGAAGGAAAAAAAAACCCCATTAAAGCAATACAAGTCTGTTACACCCAAGTGTCTGTCTGCGTAAGCATGTGTGGTATTACAGTATGTGTTTTTGTCTCCAAATGGCATGCATGTAACAGGTGTACAGCATCGGTCCTTTAGCTTGCAGGAGGACGCCTGCCCCAAATTACTGTACAGTACTGGAAAGGGTTGCCGCTGATCTGTATGGTGCTACTTACCGAATGCACGAAACTCAAGTTCACACTGTCGGTCTTATGGAACATGAACAAATTTGATTTTCAAAGTGATAAAAATAGCCAAAGTACAATGGCACTTTCAGATCATCAATTTAATTAATTCCATGACCACACTCAAAATGCAAAACAGTCTCAAATCATATTGAAATGAACTGAAATGCCATTCATCTGTTCCAGCCTTCGCCCAAAAATTGTTGGAATGTGTATTTTAATAAGGAAAAAAATAGCACTCCATTATAATATATTTTATAACAATGTACAGCAGTAACAAGTCAATATTAAAAATAAATGTTTATTCATATTTCACCGTTTAAATAATGGATGGATGGATGAATTAAATGTCAATCCTTCTGGTGTGCCCTCCTTCGCCACCCGGGGACAGTACAAGACAGCCGTATTGTTGATTAAGAATCGCACTTGAGTTCTCAACAGGACATGCCCAGCTGCAATTGGAGTAGCTGCTGGGCTATTGCAGCTGGGTGTGTACTGCCGAGAACTCAAGTGGGATTCATAACACCTCAACTCCTCTCTCAGCTCACCAGTACGGCACTAATATTACCTGATACGCACAAACAATAACGGATACATGGATGTAAGTACTGTTACATTGTCAATGTATATGTTGCTGCACCCTTTGTTTTCAAAGCCATTGCCTTAAGGGTTAAAGCATTGTGACAGATGTTAGCTAGCATCAGGATCAAGATGGCGGCTTTATAGGCTAAACTATGGTTGTTCAAAATACACAAGGTTAAATTCTCTGTGTTATGTTTATTTTAACAGTAAACTTCAACTGGGAGTGGCATGAAACTGCTTGAAGCCTATAGTTTTTTTGAAGGGCCAAGGGGTGAATAATTAAATATCTTCTGCTGACAGTAAGGCGCATTGAGCTTTTGGGGGTGGACACAAGCTGCAAGTGTGAAGGAGCGGGCCAGTGATCTGGCCCGTTACTGCAGACCCGCAACTTGGAGAGTGTTGTGATGAAGAGTTCAAACACCCGGAGATGGTTGAGGACCACCTGACGATGTCTTTTCCTGACCAAGGATTCATCCATTCAACATGGTTGTATGTTAGCATCACAGATGTGTTGTCCAACTTTCACTGAAATAAGTCATTTTTCCTAAATGGACTCAAAATACACATACATGAAAATATTTAATTTAGTTTTGTACATTCTTATACAGGTAAAACAAACTTTGCGTACACTAAGGCTGTTTCAGTTCAAATTTGACCAAGTGGGTTAAACCAAGGACAATTGTGGGAATATTGAAATTGGGGGAAAGTGACAACAGTATTCATGAGGATATTTAAAAAATATTCCCAAGGACTGTCCACATCTGCACAAGTTCCAGCAGAAACATGCCCGTTTGTTTTGGGAAGGTCACGAGGGAATCTCCAAACAGGTGGAAGAGTAAAACAGCATCATAAGAATGATCATACAAAAATAGAATGTTGCATTGTTAGGTTTTGCATATTTGGAGCTGCTTAGAATTGAAGCCGAACCAATTTCTTTCATCTTTACCTGCTTCAAACAACAATCTTCTGCTGGAATTTGGCTATAATTGCACGACTGTCCACGTATGGTTATGTGTTGTGTTGTATTACCGTATTTTGTTATTTTACGTTAACTGTTCTGTAAAGCGCTTTGTTACAGCTGCAGCTCTGGTGAAAGCACGATATAAAGATGAATTCTATTGAAACAAGACAACGTCAATAGCAAGAACTTTTTACCCACTCGTTCCGTCCCCCGTGCCTCTCACAATACACAATGAATGGGGTTAATGATTGCACTCTGCGCCGAGCTAAATTCATTTTGAAAAGGGCCGCATGAAACCGACTCGCAAGAGCCGTGGGTTGAGCAGGCCTGTATTGAACAGTTGTAATGCGTGTATAGGATATATTTTAATTGAGTAAACAATTCACATTCAAGCATGATCTAATTCATAGGTGTCAAACTCAAAGCCTGGGGCCAGATCCGGCCCGCCACATCATTTTATGCGGCCCACCAAAGCAAAATATTTATTCGGTTTCACTATCGCAACGGCTCTGTGAGGGAAGACGTGAATCCAAAGTGGCTCGCGAGTTTGACACCCCTGATCTAGATGGACTGCCATGTGTCTCAGGTCTCCAGAGATCTACTTTGTGAGGTGAGGACATGGATGACTTGCCATCGTTGGTGTTCTTTTGTTTGCCTTCACATTCACAAGGTTCCAGGGCAGCATGCCTTCTTCAAAAGCTTTATTTAAAAACACACTGGTGACTCTATTTTAGCAGCTATACTTTTACAAGAGTTCCAAACAAGTCAGAATTGTAGCTCTATACAAAAATAGAAACATTTGAAATTCCTGTACAAGACCAAATGAACACTGTGAAACTGACCAGATAAAAATAAATAAACTATTGACAATGAAAAACATGAACCTTAATCGAACCACAAACTTTCCAGAATCTTTTACAAACATTTGAAACAGACAACCCGACTGAGGTCAAGAGTTAGAGAAAATGCATTTAACAGTTAAACCATCGTTAAGTACAATAGTGGCGGCTGAACCTCACAGCAAACTTGATGGGGGGGAAAAGGATGACATAAATACAATATCACGATAAAGAATTTGAGCTAAAGTTCACAGATCTGCCCCTCAGGTTCTTTTGCACCGTACGCCACTGTCGCTGCCTTGTTCGTCTTCCACCGGATTGTGGCATCGCCACATTCCAAGTGGAGGGGTCCTGAGTAAGACAAAATGTTTGATTGCTATCTGGTAAGTTACCTGTACGAACTCCGCCGTGTGTAACGCTGAAACAAGCTTACGTTTGTGTGCCTGCTGGTTCATTTCACCGCCGCCTTTCCTGGAGCTGTCAATTGAGGACATGTAGATGACTTCTGCATCTCTGTTGCTTCTTTTACTTGCAGCTGAAGCACTGTGTGGACCCAAATCCCCACATTGATATCTCAAGTATGAAGGATGAGACTTTTTGCCAACATGTGACCTCCTACCAGCAGACGATCTCGTCATCATCCTCCTCACGTTTCCTTTTCCTCACTCCGTTGTTACTTTGAGGCAAGGAATTGACGCTGCTGATTGTGATGACCGACTGGTCCAACATCCTGGGACCAGTAGCATGATCGCCACATGTGAAGCTTGACGTGCTCCAAATGGGCCTCACGGAGGTTTCCTTGTTCTGACACGTTCGACCCACCTCCATGCAGTCGCGCCAGAGTTTGACGCTGGAAGAGAAGCAAGCAGAGAGTCGGACAATGTCCTGCATAAAGAGGAATGGCGCACGGACACACTTACTAAGCACTGTTTGGAAATTTGCCATCAAAATGGCTCATGGTAACAAATGGGTGCTCCAGAATTTGGCACGGCCTCGACCTTTTACTCGGGTCCATGTGGAGCATTGTAGCAACTGCGTTCACAAAGCTCTCCAGGTCACACTGCATAGCGTACCAGTCCTCATCACTACAGTTGATGGGTCGCACAAAATGAACCTAGGTCAAGGCATAAGGAACCCTATTATTCTCACACGGAAGACATACAAGTTACACAAGTCGGGTAAACAAACCTCCAGCAGGTCTGACAGCTTGTTTAAAGGTTGAGTTCCATCGTACGTTGTGACCATTTCGGCTCTGTTCTGAAATGAGGAACCGCTCGTGTCATAGGCAGGCTTCTAATGCACCAAAACTGAGCGGAAGAACAACATACGGTTGGTTACCTTCAACCTCCACTTCTTGGCTTTCTTGCGGAAGAAGCACGAAGTGAATATGCCGGCATCGAGGAGGCTGGCTGGCAGCTTTCCAAGTGTGGTGCTGATCTGTGACAGCTGTGGACGTGACATCGATTTTAGAATTGATGATGTGGAGCTCTTGATGACGACGCGACACACTTACCATGCTGTACTCATCAGAGCCATCAAACAGAGCTCGACCCAGCAGAAGCTCAACGGCAACACAGCCCAAAGACCACACATCGATAGCCTCCGTGCACTCGTGTCCTAGCAGCACTTCGGGGCACCTTGTTGGAGGGGGGAGACATCACACTTCAGATCAGGCGTGTCCAATCATTTTCATCCCGGGGGCAGCATAAAGAAAAAATGGAAGGCCGCCACTTTGACAATCTTGAACTTTACAATATAAACACAGAAAAATACAATTATGACATGAATGGAACTCATACAAAGGAAAAAGATGAAATCGCTCCTTTTATATAACCACTGGAAGAGGAGTGTTGGAAAATCTTCACCCTTGCTGTTATATTCCAAAATGTTTGTGATCTAAACAATGTGTGGAGAAAATGCCAATAATCGCGGACGTGTTTGTGGACATGGCCTCACTCTGGAGGCAGGCACTCACTGATGGATCCAAGTAGACTCACCGGTACCACATGCTCTGCACGGTCATTCCCCGTGACAGCTCCGAGGCATGCAGTGCCAAGCCAAAGTCGATAACCTTCACCTTCAGCGGCAGTTGCAGGTGGTCCACCACCATGATGTTGTCTGGCTTCAGATCACAATGCACGATCCCTACACTCTTCAGGAACTGCAGTGCGGTTGTCAGCTAAAATAAAATATCAGACATTATTTCAGAGCATATGTACGTGACTTCATACTAGAAGCTTGTTTCAAATGGTAATGCTCAGTGCTGTTAATCTGCCACATAGTGGGTGGGAGTGTAGGTCGTGAGGGATCAAACGTTATGGGGCACACCGTGGACTGATCACCAGTCAATGGCACAACTGACTTCACGCTCAAAATCACACGTACAAGCAATATAGTCTTCAGTGAAACTAACACTGTGGGAGGAAGCCAGAGT